CCAGAGACCCCCATTAACGCCAAACGCTGTTTTTTCTTTATCTTTCTCGGCGATCTCTACTTGCCAGTACCCACTCTGCAGGTCGAGGGTGGAGAACCATGACGTCCCGGCTAATGTGTCCAATGTGTCGTCGATTCTTGGGAGAGGATAGCTGTCTTTCTTGGTGACATCATTCAACTTTCGGTAGTCCACACAAAATCGGGTGCTTCCGTCTTTCTTCTTGACCAATACCACTGGGGAGCACCATGGACTTGACGATGGTTCTATTACACCACTCTTTTCCATTTCACTTATCAGCTTCTGGACCTCGTCTCTTTTCGCCAGGGGAACACTTCTTGGAGGCTGTTTAATGGGTCTCGCGTCTGCTGTATTGATTTCATGCTTCACCACTGATGTTCTTCCTTGGTGCTCTTTTGTCAACGCAAAGGTAGAGGCATATTTCCATAATAGCTGCTTAGCCTTGTTCCTCTCGGAAGGTGATAATTGGTGTGTCCACTCTTTTATGTAGCCGTCGAGGTGCTTCTTCTCCATGGCTGCTGGCTTTTCGGTGCTAGTTTCCAAATTAATTACAGCTTCAGCTGGTGTGCATTGTCCAACATCGGAAAATTGGCAAATTTGCTCTTGCTTGTTTGACAGGTTCAAAACTCTAACAGGAATTAATCCGTCCTTGTTGCTTTTCACCAGGGCATTCGCTATTAGGATGTTACTGTTTCTGTTTTCTGCTGGTTCCACCACCCACAACTTCTCGGCTCCACAATCTCCATTCATTGGTACCCATATTATTGCTTCGGCACAGGGCGGTATTATCTCTGGATGGTCCGTAGTCAGACGTCTAATGGGTGTACTTTCGTCGTAGCCCACGTTTAACGGAATTTCGACGTTAGACCAGGTCATTACACGCTCTTTCATATCCAGATTGATGCCGAAGGCAATCATAAAATCTGCGCCTATTATCACTTCGTCTACGATATCGGCAACTATAAACTCGTAATTCACCGATTTATTGGCAATAGTTAGTCTCAGGGTAATCTTGCCGTGTACTGCCGCGGGCTCCCCCGTTGCTGTGCGCAGTCTGACTCCATTAAGTTGCGTTATTTTTCCCTTTACCAGATCTGATCTTATGATGGACTTTGATGCGCCAGTATCTAACGTCAGAACTCGCTTGTCACCATTGATGTACCCAGTTGTTGTTAGGTTGTGACTTTTCTGTTGTACTATTGCTATGGAGATTGTGGGGCCATCGTCGATGGGAGCCAGTTCATGCCCCGCTGGACTGGCTCGATTTAGTTTAACGGTGACTCATTGGTGGACTGTTGAGCCATTCTTCTACCATCTTTCGTTGGAGGCGGTGACGATGACCTGGATCATTTGCGCTTAGCTCTGCATTCGCGCGCAATATGACCTGCTTTATCGCAGTTGTAGCATTTAACCCTGGGCTTAGTCATCCCTACTGACTTTGTTTCTTCTATTACCTGCCTCATGGCGTCCTTGATCGAGTTAACGAGAGATTTGGTTTCGCAACCTTCGGTCTCCAGTTGGCGAATCCTGTGGGTCTGGGGCTTAACAATTATTCTTGCCGTCTCTTGGGCAAGGGCAAACGACACAGTTTCGGCAAACGACGCTTTTGGTGACGCATATGTTGCACATTTAATCTCAGGGTCACGTATGCCATTCACAAAGGTTTCGATTTTCATACGGTCCAGCAATGGGTGATTCTCTCCTGGATACGCCATTAGCACCAAACGTTCCACCTCAGCTGCAAAGTCTTGTAACGTCTCGTTTGCCCTCTGTACTTTTCCCCTTAGTTCCATAAGGTAGATGTTTTGTTTATGTTCGCCACCGTACTTACGTTCCAGTGCAGCAATAACATCTTCATAGTTGCTTCTAGAAGCGACAGGAATACTCTGTATAACATCAGCAGCACTGCCCTTCAATGCCAGAAGTAGTGCAACCGCTTTGTCGCTGTCGTTCCACGAATTTCTAGAAGCCACTGTCTCGAACTGTAACTTGAAAACATTGAATGACGTAGAGCCGTCGAATACAGGAGGTTTGATTTTTAGTGTGTTATCGGGAGCTCGCACCGGACCACCTTTAATTTCCATTTCCGAAATTTTCTTCTCCAGATTCGTAACCCTGTGGTCGTGGGCCAGAAATTTCTCGTCAACCGACTGCACTTTCTTATCCAACTCTTTAATTTGGACCTCCACGGTTTCCACTCTCCTTCCAATAACTTCTGTAATGTTCTCGAGTTTCTCGTTCATTATTCTCGAATTTTCGTCAAACATTCTACAATTCTCTGCCTTGAGTTCATCTAACTTTCTGGAATTCTCTTCGAACCTTCTGAAATTTTCCTCAAACATTTTAGCCAGCATTTCTCTCAAATCGTCACCCTTGGCAGCTACTGACTGGACTTCCCCACCGTTGGATTCGCCCATTTCCGATAAATCCACTTCATCCTTACTGTCAAACTCATATGCATCGATGTTCATACCACGGCGCTCGAACTCATCCAACAGACGTTTTTGTAGTTCAGTCTTGTTGCCAGTAGAGGACAATTCCAATTTATTCAGCTCCTTCTTCAAGTCTTCCACTCGTAGATCCTTAAACTTCATCGTAGTATTATCGTAATCTCACTTCCGACACCAGTTGTTACGTTCTTGGGTTTTACTTAGTCCCGTGTAGACGTTGTTTTATTTCCCGATACAATTCGTAACAAATAAAACGCGGGTTCTTTCTGATTACGATTATTACAATGATTTTATTCACACAACTTTACTTTGCACTTCACAACTGACTCACTGCCTTCCCATTTCCTCTATTTATATGCCCCTTGCCTGTCGCTGCAGAAGTTTCTAGACGATCTGGTAACGCCTAGATTACGAACAATCTACCAATGCAACAAACACACATACAAACATACATTGAGTAAACAATAACAACAACACATTGAGCGAACAATAACAACACATATACAGGCGAGGGGGTAACAAAGAAAGAGGAATTAAGCGATCATCAATGATGACGTTTAACAAGAATTGTACGACAATAACAAAATAGAAAATGAAAGAGGAAATGGAAGGATGTAGAAAAATCTATACATTAGTTGTTGTTGTGAAGTTATTCGAATAAATTGCGTAGTAGAAATTTACGTTACAATTCAAATTCGTAAATTAACGGAATTCATCTAAATTAACTTAAATCTAATGTTATATTCGTAACAGTATTTATGATACGGGTAATTTCCTATCCCAGTTTCTATTCTGATGGTCAACATTTCCATTTCCCAATGCATAAGTTACCTTCTAGGAGACAGATTTCTAGTCCCAGTTTACCATTTTGGGTTATGGATTGATCGAACATCTCCTTGCACAAAACAATAACCTTTTTTTATCAGAAAAAAAAAACAACAATATCCTGAAAATATTTCATAAAATAAATAACAGGATTAGAAAAATAATCGAAGTTGGCCAAAACTTCTCCCAATATTCTCAGGCAAATAAATTTGGGTTTTCTGACAGTTTGATCAAACTTTTTTTGGTGCACATAAATTTCCAAATGTGACCATACGTCAAACATGTTTACGTTATTGACGTTATTTGACGCTATTTCCATCAGTTTGAGCAAACAAAATGTGTCAAATATTTGAATGTAATGTGAACACAAATTCAAGAGTGCACAAATTTAACATTTTTTGGGCAAACAAAATAAAAGACATTTGAGTCAAATATTTGCCTAGTGTGACGTTACCTTAAGTCTTCCTAGTTTTCAAATTTTTATCGATATGTCCGTACTTTTGATCTATCGTCTATTCACCCAACTACAGTCCACATTTATTACTATTCTTCTATAGTACTGATCATAAAAAACATTGTTGATCGTTGGAGAGCAAATCTGTATTGTTGCTCTAAATTCTTAATTTTTTATCTCACCATAGCAACACACACCTCCTGTTCTCATTTTCTGTGAAATGTAAATTCTTTTGGTCGACTTAAAATATAACTTCTTACATACATATGATACAAATGATTAGTCGTCCATCGCCTTGTACTGATCACCCTACATCGCTTTGATCATACAAAAAAAATCGATGTTGTTGTTACCACAATTCGTCGTCTTAGCTTTGTTGATCGTTTCTATTTTAATACTCTTTTGTGAGCCTCTGTAGTTGAATTACTATTACATTTATTACTATATAGTATTTATTAATAATATCATTTTTAATTTATTATGTTAAGCAAATTATGTATATAAAGAAAGCCAAAAATAAAGAAAAGTCAGTCGTCTTTTGTAGTGACTAAACCAAGCGTTTTATTTGCTATTTGACGGCTCCCTTCAAGTTTATGTGCTTGTAAGGAAAATAATGTGGATTATAAGTGTCAGTTCAAATTTATCTGTTTGAATTGAATAACGCTTGATCCTACTATCATAAACAATATATAAAAGACTTAGAAAACTGCAGTATTGGAGGTGTGGCACAATATTCAGAACAATTACGACTTGAAAAAGTTGGTCCACTTGATGAAAGAACTTTCACCTAACACGTTCACCATATCATTATGAATTTCTTGTCCCGAAAAAAAAAACTTTTTTAAATAAATATTTAATGACAGCGCGCATTTTTAATTTTTCCATTGTAAAAAAATTGTGGATGTGTATTTTTTGAACTCCTCTTTCTATATGAAGGAGTTACCAGATCGAAACAAAATTTAACTTGTGTGGAAGTTTCTAAATCACTTAACTTTTTTCTGTTTTTAGCGCACTTTTTGTGCTAGACTAAGAAGTATTCGAACTGCCTTCGTATGTTCATGTATCGCGAGTTATGAGCTTGCAAATCTCAGTTTAAAACTTTTTTGAATATTCCCTTATACATTATAAATAAAGGTAATACATTTATGTGAACATGAAAACAAATGGTGCATAGTTTCTTTTGACGCACTTTGGCAAAATATCAAATATTAAAAATATATATGTGGATGCGAAAGTTTTCTTACAATACATACCTTATGGGCAATTTCCCTTCACTCTTACGTTCATAAATTTTTGATGTTATAACATCTCGCGCAAATCCAAAATCTGCAACTTTGCATATGTGATCGTCGGTTATAAGTATATTTCTCGCTGCTAAATCCCGATGTATAATCTGAAAAAATAAAACGTATTATCTCCAGAAAAATTTATTATCTAATGTTATCATGTAAAAAATGTAATTGCGTTAGCTGTGCCTTTTTATGAGTTCGAACGATAAAAGGATATCTTGTTATAGCATTATATGATGGGTAGCGTTTATATTATGCAATGGTTACGTACCCCACGAGAAGTCAGGAAATGCATGCCATTCGCTACTTGATACATGAAAGACGTCAAATCTCCAGAAGTTAAAATATCAGATTTCCCATGAGTGTTTCCATAGTGTCTGTAACAAAAAATTAAGAAAATCAAATACCAGATTAATATGCGGACATTAGGTTTATGACTTATTTCAAAAATATATGTTTGAAGTATAACTGAAACCAATGAACTTTAGCCCATTAATGTCTTAAGTAAGGCTACTCAATTTACTTATTAGAAAAAATCACGCTAAACCGCTGTGAAATATTTTTTTTCTGAAAAGGTTACATTTTTATACCCTCCACTATAGTATGGAGGGTATATTAATTTTGTCATTCCGTTTGTAACTCCGACCCTATAAAGTATATATATATTATAACGAGTGGTTTTGTCTAAGGCTGAAGTAAGCTCAGTCGCAGCCAGGGTCAACTCAAGGACCCACAAACCTTAAGTTAAAAACACGAGTGGTAAAATTAAATTCTTTATTGTAATACTTCTGTGTTTAGATAGAGAGTAACATGCGGGATCTTCAATACGATGGAGTTATTAATTCATTGGTTGTCGTTTCGGTGTGTTGGGACTCGTTCCGTCGGACTGATGGGGTGACTGTAATCGGCTTCTAATTGTAGCTAGTAGGCTCCGATTGTGGCACTCATCTGTATTTGTATAGTCAGCTTCGGTTGTGTAGGTTTTGGCATTCGGCTTGTGTTACAGTAGTCGACTCGGGTTGTAGTAGTCGGCTTGGGTTGAAGTAGTCGACTCGGGTTGATGTAGTCGGCTCGGGTTGAAGTAGTCGGCTCGGGTTGAGGTAGTCGACTCGGGTTGATGTAGTCGACTCGGGTTGATGTAGTCGGCTTGGGTTGAAGTAGTCGGCTCGGGTTGATATAGCCGGCTCGGGTTAATGTAGTCGGCTTGGGTTGAAGTAGTCGGCTCGGGTTGATATAGCCGGCTCGGGTTGATGTAGTCGGCTCGGATTGTAGAAGTTGGCTGAGGTTGATGTAGTCGGCTCGGATTGTAGAAGTTGGCTGAGGTTGATGTAGTCGGCTCGGATTGTAGAAGTCGGCTCATGTTGATGTAGTCGGTGGGGCCCTTCGTTCAAGCTCCTTCTGAAACGTGAAGAGTTATATCGAAGCGAACGGATCGCAGCAAGCGAACGAGTCGCGGAAGCGAACGAATCGCAGGAAGCGAACGAATCGCAGGTCGAAGGCTTCGACTATGTTCGGTACAAGGTACTACGACTGCGGGCACTGCCACAAGTCGGTTTCGCTCGTACTTGGTCTAACTCCAGCACTCGACAATTTCTGCCGACGAAAACTGGAACACTTATCTGTACGACAACACAAATTGAATGAGAATTATTTTCCCATATCTCAACAATATCCCCATGACTGTTCATTGAAGTCAAATATCTAGTTATTATAATTGCAAAGTGAGTTGCTCAAATGTATGTATCCTAGTATTATATTAACGAGTATATAATAAGGTGGTGTAAAATGTAGCGGTCACGTTACATCCCCCCTTACATCGAAAAAAAGAAAGAAGAAAAAAAAATCAATAACTTCCCCTAACTTTCTATTTTCGTTGACCCAGATAACGTCTAGGTAGGAAAAATCTTTCTGCTTCTGTACGGAACTGCGGCCACGTTTTTATTTCTGACCTCTTGACACGATACCAATTCAGCGCGTTTCTTTCCAATATGGTGTGTAGTGAGGGAAGAAGACGATCGAGGAGGGTGCTACGGCACTCAGCAAGTTCTTCTAATCTTTCGAGGAATTCCACGAGATTGTTTTAAGCAGGGAACTTAAGGGACCACCGATTAACTATGTTCATAATTTCAAGATCAGACATCCCTTCGAGCCGGTGCTTCGTTGGTACCTCGATGGTGGTGTCGCTGTATATTTCTCGCGCGGCTTTGACTTCCTTCTCTAACTCTCGAAGTAAGTCTTCTGCAGAAGCACGTGTTCGTGTTTCCCTTATGTATTTGCTGAGTTGCTTCCGAAGGTAATCGACTGTATAGCCCTCTGTATCTAGCCCAGCCGTTTTGCTGTGTTGTACTAGTTGATCGCGTTTTAGCAAATATATCCAACTAAGCGACTCGGGGCTTAATGAGTCCTCAATATCCGAATCTCCAAACATGTTTCTCATTGACCTCGACAATTCTTCGCTGGAGGCAGGATTTGGTTTTCCGCTTTTCGTGTCTTTGTCGGGTCCCTGCTCGGGCGCCATTTATAACGAGTGGTTTTGTCTAAGGCTGAAGTAAGCTCAGTCGCAGCCAGGGTCAACTCAAGGACCCACAAACCTTAAGTTAAAAACACGAGTGGTAAAATTAAATTCTTTATTGTAATACTTCTGTGTTTAGATAGAGAGTAACACGCGGGATATTCAATACGATGGAGTTATTAATTCGTTGGTTGTCGTTTCGGCGTGTTGGGACTCGTTCCGTCGGACTGATGGGGTGACTGTAATCGGCTTCCAATTATAGGTAGTAGGCTCCGATTGTGGCACTCAGCTGTATTTGTATAGTCAGCTTCGGTTGTGTAGGTTTTGGCATTCGGCTTGTGTTATAGTAGTCGACTCGGGTTGTAGTAGTCGGCTCGGGTTGAAGTAGTCGACTCGGGATTGTAGTAGTCGGCTCAGGATTGTAGTAGTCGGCTTGGGTTGAAGTAGTCGGCTCGGGTTGATGTAGTCGGCTCGGGTTGATGTAGTCGGCTCGAGTTGAAGTAGTCGGCTCGGGTTGAGGTAGTCGGCTCGGGTTGAGGTAGTCGACTCGGGTTGATGTAGTCGGCTCGGGTTGAAGTAGTCGGCTTGGGTTGAAGTAGTCGGCTCGGGTTGATATAGCCGGCTCGGGTTAATGTAGTCGGTTTGGGTTGAAGTAGTCGGCTCGGGTTGATATAGCCGGCTCGGGTTGATGTAGTCGGCTCGGTTTAATGTAGTCGGCTCGGATTGTAGAAGTTGGCTCAGGTTGATGTAGTCGGCTCGGATTGTGGAAGTCGGCTCAGGTTGATGTAGTCGGTGGGGCCCTTCGTTCAAGCTCCTTCTGAAACGAGAAGAGTTATATCGAAGCGAACGGATCGCAGGAAGCGAACGGGTCGCGGAACCAACGAATCGCAGGAAGCGAACGAATCGCAGGAAGCGAACGAATCGCAGGAAGCGAACGAGTCGCAGGTCGAAGGCTTCGGCTATGTTCGGTACAAGGTACTACGACTGCGGACACTGCCACAAGTCGGTTTCGCTCGTACTTGGTCTAACTCCAGCACTCGACAATTTCTGCCGCCGAAAACTGGAACACTTATCTGTACGACAACACAAAGTGAATGAGAATTATTTTCCCATATCTCAACAATATCCCCATGACTGTTCATTGAAGTCAAATATCTAGTTATTATAATTGCAAAGTGAGTTGGTTAAATGTATGTATCCTAGTATTATATTAATGAGTATATAATAAGGTGGTGTAAAATGTAGCGGTCACGTTACAATATATATATATATATATTCTTGATCAGGATAAGATTCTAAGACGATCTAGCCATGTCCGTCCGTTCGTCTGTTGTAATCACGCTATCTTCTGAAGGAATTGAGATAGGGTGCTGAAATTTTGCATGGGGTTGTCTTTTGTTTCAGGCAGGTCAAGTTCGAAGATGGGATATACCGGTCCACGGTATTTTTGGGTTCTTGAGCGCGTTTTTCAACAAAATTCGCTGAAATTTGGATGCATTGGGTTCTTATTGGGTATTAAATGTATCCACAAAAAAAATATAAATATATGTTCACTTTTTCTGGTAGCCTCCATATAATGGTACCTCCTAATTTCCGTTTTTTTTGTGGTTTTGATCGTATTTTCCACGGAATTGGCTGTAATTTAGTATTTTGAGTTCAAACGAATTCGAATTTGGTACATTGTTATTGCATTTAGTTTTCGAAGAAGTAACATTTTTAGTAGCTAATTATTATGGATCATGGATATATGCAGTACAGGAGGCGTTCTAATTATTTTAAAATATTGTTTACTAGCAGACCCGGCAAACGCTGTTTTGCCTATTCAGAATTGCATCAATATAGGGTTGGTAAAAATTAACGAATTCATGGAAAATATATTTCAGAAACTATTTACCAAAAAATTTGCGTCAAATTTCCACAATCAAAAAATATGCATAATATTTTCCTCATGACGGTAAACCTTCATTTGCTGATACTCCAGTATATTAAGTAATATTGTTATTGTTATTAAATATTAAATTATGTTCCACCAAACATTTTTCAGGAGAAGGTCAAGTTTTGATCTAACTACTCGTATTTCAAAAGATAATAACTACTTTTTATCACATACGATTCAAAAGTCCTAAAAACAGTTGTGTTGTGTTCAATTTCTCAAATCTCCAACTTTTTATGTTTTTCTCAAAAATTTCTTTGGTAAAACTCTTCCAACATATAAGTTAGACACCTAGAGCATCTAATGCGCAATTGTCTCCATGTAGGATTCAAATTATATATACTTCCCCAATATAAGCTAAATATAGCTAAGTTGTTGAGGTATTTGTAATGGGCATTTTGGTATATTCTATGTATATGTATTGAAATTTTTCACAAATAAAGCTGGTTTTATTTCCTATTTAGAATACGTTGAAGTTTCAGCCAATGATTCAGATATCGCGTGGTATATATGCCATGTATTGGTTTTATAATATAAAAAATTGGCTTACCATTATTGTGCGTTTTTAAACCTCCATATATTTGGCATAGTACGATGTTGTGTACTTTGAAAGTAGTAACACATACCGTATACATTGCCTTTAATTCGGTATTTCATGTAGGATAGGGAACTTCTCTGTAAATTATAGGTATAGTATCACTTTATGGTATATATCCCACATAATGGTAGGCAAATCGGTCCAGCCGTTCCTTCAAAATAGGTTTTGCAAGATTTTCGCGGATTTTTCTCAACATGTTCTTTCATAAAAGCTTTCCCACCTAAATTGCAGGCAACTGAAAGAAATTTTGAATCAAATCGGTGCCGCCGTTCTCAATTGATGAGGTACTATACATTTTACATCACTTTTATAAATAGATTTAAATACATTTTTCTTCAATTTGATAGGGTATTATTTTTTCGTTTGACTCCCACGCGCTTTTCACTAGAACAGGTTATGTATGAGTCGGTGTCGGAATACATAACATCGGCACATACCGATTAAGCATCCAATATTTAATCGGGCAAAACACAAAGAAGCTATATATCCCGCCATCTATCGGACGAACTTAAAATTAAACACAAAAATACTACTCACACCCCATAAGACATATACGTAAAGTTTGGTTAAAATCAGCGGAGTAGTTCTTGAATTATAGTGAAAAACCACCAAAAAATCTAAATATTGCGCCATCTGTCGGATGAACTTCAAACTACACAGAAACACTCCTCACGCCCCATAGAGCATGTACATACAATTTGGTCCAAATCGGTGCAGTAGTTTTTGAGTTTAGCGATCACGAACATACACGTAATTTTTATATATATAGAGATAGAGAAGAGATAGAGATAATTCACAGATTTTAGATCTAGCATTATTATTATTATTATTAAGTCTTTATTTTGTAATGAAAAGCCTAAGGGGCCAATAAATTATTACAATATGCTTCGAATAATAATTTGTAAATTAATATTTAAATTATTAGAACTTAAAAATAAATAATATCTAATTAGGAAAAAATACACTTATGACACTTCACAAGGGTAGAACTACTCCTATTAATACTTGCGAGGTCAAAGAAAAAAATTAAAAACGCTCCCAACTATAATATCAGCGGCAATTACTGCCTCTAAATATAAGTATTTTTTAAGGTAGATAAAGATAGCATATAATATTATTCTGCTGCTCCTTGAAATAAGACAAGAAGCTTATTTCGGTATGATGAAATGGTTACATTAAACCTTTTTAAGTTGTTAGGTAGTGTATTGAATAAACATGACACTCTAACAAGAAATGATCTGTCCATGTTAACGTCCAATCTTGGAATAGTTAGATTGGTGTTTCTAGTGGATCTTGAAAAATTAAAGGAACTCGCCAAAAAGAGGGACATTGAGATTTGCATATTTTATAGAATAAGGAAAGACATCGGATATTAACAAAATTAGTAAATGAAGATCCTATAAAACGGAGAACGAACGAAGAAATGTGATAGTAACGGTTAATACCAAAAACATATCTGACGACGCTATTAAAAGCCTTTTGAACTCGCTCCATATTGTGCATGTTAGCACCAGAGTATACCTCAAGACAGTAGAGGATGTTCGGCATTACAATAGCATGGGCCATTTTCACCTTAAAATGGTGAGGTAGAAAAAGGTCACAATTGTAAAGCCTTCTTAGTGCCATGTTCACTCGAGAGACTACTCTATCAATATGTCTTGCAAAATTTAATTTATTGTCCTAGAATCTCCAAAACCTCAACAAATTGTATAGGAATTTCATTATACTTTAAATCCAATACATTAGCATATAAAGAGAACAATAATGCCTTGGTATTACTAACATTTACGCTGAGTTTGTTATATATCGATCATAACAATTTGATGTACTATTTATTTGATAAATATAAATGAGCAAATCACAAAAAAATTCTAGTTCAATGGATATGCAAATAAATAATAAAGTTTTCAGACTAGCACTGATACTCACAGATTTAGGTTTATTCACTTAATTTATATCATTATTGAGTTAAGCGGCCGAATGTGACACAACACTAGCATATGACTGAACACAATCAGTTTCCGTTATATCTATGATATTAGAGGACGCTGATTGTGACACAGACTTGCGACTAGACACGACTTTATTAAAAGGATTTTTCGTAGACCGCTTGCTTTTCTGTCCAGAAACACAAATCCATCAATCTATTGGAACTTTTCAAAGTAATTAGACAAATTACCAAAGCGGTTTAAGCTAATGTAACAAAGGAACAAATTAGAAATAGAACAAAATGTAAATTATATTAAAGCGATTTATTAATACAGTAGTGTACATTCGTTTGAGCGCATATGATGTTTTTGAGATTTTACTATGGAAACACATTATTTTAATATATATTTTATTATTTAAATATATATAATGGTGAATTTATTTAAGGCATCGAATATCAAAATACCCGGTAAATTGGATAAATACCCATTTGTGGGTATTTACTATATTGAAACGGTAATACAACATCTTACACCCTATTTCCGGGTTTCTGTTATTAAATCGATTCAGAATGAATAGTTTTACGATACTTTAAAGACGTGTATAAACTCATTAACTGGCGAACCACTTGACATAGGCGGCCAAAATGCAAAATATTCTGTCATTATCACTAATGCGATGTAAATTGCATGCGATTAACCTAAAATGTAATGGTGCAGGAATTCAATTTCACTTATCCACAAAGGCAATCGAATCAATGCGGTGCACCGCATCATAACAGAACTACTCTATGAGTGAGGTTTGTTTTTATGATCAGTTAATTTTAGAAAGAACTATGACAATCCAGTTTTCACATGTATGAAGAAGGGTAAACATCTAGTTATAAATTAAACACAGTTATAGTGATTACCAAATTTCTAATAATAAGAAATTATTTTGAAGTAGGTATATCATAAAAGATCACAAAATTTCGATGTGTAAGTAAAAACATAAAAAAATATAAATAGATTTTACGAAATGTCGGAGGATCAAACCACTATTGGGGAAAAAATTGCTCAAAAAATTTACACCTTAACCGACAAGCACAAAGGAAGGAGCATTATTTGGAATGTGTTTCTTCAAATAGTAAAATAAGATGAAAGAATTTTGGATGGGTTTGTGTAATACCGCACATGCCACAAAATATGTAAACTGCATGGTCATCAAATATCAAATCTACTTAGGCATAAATGTTGCCAAGGGCTGAAGCAGTCGACAGTTAACATGTAAACAATAAACATTAAAAAAACGAGGTCAATTTTCCTAATGCCATATTGAGTTTGGCGCGAATTTTATTATATCAAGTATATTGACGGTATCAGAGACGTACACAGGATTCCTCTTCAGACCAAGAAAGGTGTTTGCTATAAAAAAAGTTTGTTACAACCGGTGTTTGTTATAAGCGTACCCGACTGTATTACATTTTTTAACTCAGATGTGCCGAGTGTACTAGATGCAGTAAAGCTGTTAAACATTGTTTGTTACTGCTAGTTAATTTTTCGAATGAGCTCGTTGAAGCTCTATCGACCATACCGCAGCGTCGAACTTTATTTTCTGCAAAACGTTACCCTTTTGATTGAAAAAAATAACGTGCATGTTGCATCCTCGGCACATATAATTTAATTTCATTTATGAACAGAAGTAAGTGTGATAACCACGGTCGTGGTTTATCACGACGGAGCGGTATGAGCGGTGAATCCGAGTTTTCCTAAAAACTAATAAACAATCCATTGCTAGACCTGTGTGTCCGAACAACCGAAATTAACCGGAACAATGAAAATTTCTCCGGTTATATGAAGGAAACATCCATGCATAAAAAATCATTTGAAGTGGCTGTCAGCTAATATTATACATCAATTTTCATGTAACAAAATTATGTTATAAAAAGAATCACCCCTATTCCGTAAGTCGTTTCTTTGTCGACATCACTTCGCATCGACATCACTTCGACATTGCTTTGGTATTCTGTAATACTCATGCGACGATGTCGACTATTTATCGATAATACCAATAAAACAAAAAACACGTCTCTAAAATTGAAGTCAGCTGTTCATTTCGTTTGATATTTTTGTGCAAAAATGTGTTTGTATCCTTCACAACCCTGTGGCACAGGGCTTTATGTCGCGGTACATGTATTTGCAACATACAAATGGAAACGAGATAGACCCATAGTTACTTTTTAGTATATACATCGAATTACTTTTTGAGTCTATTTATGCATGTCCCTCCGTCCATATATTATTTTAAAAAAGTTACAGTTCACCTTTATGATCCGAATGGGACGAAACTTTTTTTTGGCACAAGAGGAGCCCAATTCATATTGGCCAGATTTATATACAGAAAGTTTCCAAAACTTATTGAGTAGAATCGAGGATGACGTATCCTCTTCTTGACCGGACATATTTTTTTTAATTTCTTAAAAAGAATGTTCAAACACTTCATTCGTCAACAAAAATAATGACGAAGAATCTTCGGCATCGTCGTCGTCACACTGTGTTACGGAATACCAAAAAAGTTTCAATAGTTATCGATAAATGTCGACAACGACATAGGGAATACCAATTTGCAAAAGACGACTCTCTTCGACGTCGTTTTGTGTCGACGACGACATACGGAATAGGGGTGAATATGTTAAACAAATGTTTATCGTTTTGTTTGGAACCCGTACTTCCAAAGCTAATAAGTATGCCTCTTTATTTTAAAATGACTTACCGTTCAGCTCGTGATGACCTTAAATATGTTTGCAGTTTTCCTTTATTTACGTACTCTATAATAACAAAAATAGGATCTTTATCCGTACAGCAGCCTAAAAATCCTACAACGTTCACATGTGACTCCAGGGATTTCATTACCTAAAATTGATTATAAAATGAAAAAAAAATGTTTGTGAAGGCGTTTAATATAATAGAAAGATTTCTAAGTGCACAACGTAAATTAATTTTAGATGGTATTTAAGTAATTGTGTTTGGAATGCTTTGTGTTTAACCAAATTTGTACGTAGTATGCTAACGAATATTACAAGAGAATATATTTGCTATGATAATAAGAAAATGATTGGGTGTTGATTTCCATTATAGCTTTGTGAAGTTTCCCATAAAAGTTTCGTCTTATTATAGAATAATAGATAAATTCTACATATATGCAGTGGCGAGCAAAAGGGACGTATCACAATATGACTGTTTCAGGTTTAGTTAGTCATTTATTATATTACATAATTTAAATATAAAAAATAAAAACATATATAATTAAGAATAAAAAATAATAATAATTAAAAAACAATATTAAGATATTTTTAATGTCCACAATGTTTGCTCTTTTTTACACTTTAAAAGTGCGCTTTGGCATACTCTCTACCAATTATGTGATGATTTCACCCAAATGCCCCTTGTAACAAATCGAAGTACTTACGTTACCAGCGATAGAACTTCAATTAGAAGTTGGTTGGTGCCTGACTTCGTGGTTAACAAGGCATTTGCAGACAACTGCCAAGAACAACGAAAGGTATTGCAAAACAACAAACTGGGATTCAGTGTTGGACATTCAAAATACCTAATACCGGGTCTTTCAGGATATTAATAAGTCAGGGAATATTGACAATTTTAGGTTGTGAGATTTGGCTCCCAATAAGAATACAAAGTATGTACTTACTGTTGAAAATAGAGTCCAATATCGCCAAAATACAGAATATTCGGAGGTACCCCAAAATACTTATGCATTCAGTCAGTGAAATTCAATATCCTTACAGAGTAAGATAATATATCTAATTAAAAAAACTACTACTCTTTATTCATAGAAATATTTCATACAACTAAGGGTTAATTGTAAACAAATTAATTGTGTTTGATTTATTTTATAGTTCAAGTTTAATTTTGCCTCCGAAAGTCGCGTAGTAAGTGACCGCGGAAGTGCCCATATACATATACCATATTTTAAGTTTGATTTAAATATGATGTTGCTATTTTAATGGGCGAAGTCAATATGTTCAAAACGCTTTGAACAAAGCTTGAATGACATTGCTTTTTACAGGGTTTATGTTCTAGTATATATGGGCAATATTGCAATTTTTAAATATTCCATTTTCGAAATAAATATTCCAATACATCAAGATTTTAGGTAATTATATAGGGAAAAATGTCCTGACTCCGAATACGGCAGGTGCACACAAAAGTTATGGAGATTTTATTATAAAGAAAAAAGTTACACATTTGAGAAAAAAAATAAAAATATAGGATATTCCATCATCATTATTTTCATAATATTAAACATTTATATACCCACCTAAAAATTAATTTAATAATCGCCCTTATTCTATTCGTCGACACAATCCGTAATCCGTATTTTTATTGTCAATATTGGCATTAATCTACAACTATCGATATAGTTTGGTATTCTGTAAGATAATGTGAGACGACGTCGCATTGAATTGACCCTGATTTTGTCGTCGACGTTTTTGATGACGACTTGAATTTATTTACAAATATTCCATGCAGAGTTTTTACAAAATATGAAATAAAAATTAAGAAAATAGTATGGCTTCAATTTTTAAACCTCTGTCATTTCGACTTTTATCCATTGAGGACAAATATTCCATGCTTTAGACCGAATTTTCTACACGACTGGGTGTGATAGTCGCAAATTTAAATCATTTCCAACACTCATCTGGATCGACCCTTTGGCTAAAAACGTTGCTGCTAATTTGAAGGTGTTCGAAGGAACGTCTTGGTCCTCGTTCCACATGTTTCCAATACTCGGATTTTTAATTTTTTCATTTTTGCTGTAAATAGACCTATTTTACCTACAAATCTACGAACAGTCAAAACAATAGTGTGCTAATTTATCGACTTGGTAGCTATTTTCCAAATGTGATACATTTCGGTAATGCATGTCGTCTTTTACGAACAATGTGGACAATATTATGTGCTATTTTTAAATATTTAGCATCAGTCATAAATACGATTATTTTCTTTTTCTCGACACTGTATATATGTTATTCATACATATGGCAATTTTAAATTTTCTTTTAAAATTGCAGTCGAATTCGGAAGGGGGAAGGCCGGTTTATCGAAAAAATCGTTAATTGAAACCAAAAATTATAAACTAATATTTGGATGAATTTTCAAACACTTTACTTGGCTTAAAAGAAAAACTGGTAAATTAAAAATCCGTATAAGAGAAAGACTTTTTTGCAACAACACAAAATTATATAAAACGAGCAACATTTAAGAGAAAAAATATTTTTGTAACCGCGGCGAAACTCACTGAATTTTTGTATGTGTAATCTCTATAATTATTATGCATATTTTTTCAACCATAAAAGCAAAATGTCTACAGAAAAAGTAAGTTCTTACTCAACTCACTCCATTATTTATTAATTTCACGTTTAATTGAAAACTTCGTTTAAGGGAACCCCCCATTCTCGATTTTAATTTTTCAAGATTTTCAATGGGCTGGTATATCAATACCAATGCTTGTTAAGGTTTGTAACTTTGCACATATATGGGCAATATTGCCAATTTTTTAACATAGCTGAAGCGGATGTTCACCCCTTTATAACTCGGGAATTACTTAAGTATATGATATATAAGTATATTTTTCGGGCCAAATTTTTAGATCTGTCAACTGAATGACATGGGTACCCGCAATCAAAAAGGTTTTTTACGTTTCGGATGATATAAAATCTTCTTCGTGAAAATCCATCTACTAGAACGGCGGGAACTGGCCTTCCAAAAACACGAAATTTGGCAAAAATGTTTTTGAACATATCGCGGATTTATTTGCGTTTTCTGTGGATCATTTCAGTTTCAATAAATGGCCTCATACGGATTTTGTTCTTTTTCGAAAAGAGAACTTTAAAAACTTCAGCCGAAAGAGAGATGTACCCAATTTATCTCAAAAATAGTGTGAGCTGGCACATCCATGGTTCTTAATGGACCACATTGAAATCGGTATAGATCGATGTATTTTTTTAGGGTGCACACCGAAATCGGATGCGCGTTAATGGCATATGGAGTTTTCGGAAATTATTCGCGTTTACGATTTTTTGGGTACTTCAATGCAACGTGTGGCACATCTTAACCGTCAAATGAAATTTCGCAAACTATATATGGATTGGAAGATAAACTTCAGTATTTCCTGGAAACCGCATGCGCATCAAATGATTTTGAGAATAACTCGATTTAGACGCAATTTAAAATGCATATTTGATAACATTATTTTATTTTAAGATTTATCTAGGATCTTTATATAATCCGCAAGGCGTATACTTGTACACAAAAGTGGTTATTATTATATATGTAAATTTTTCGGCGAAATTCGGGTAAAATAGCAGAATAACCCAAACATTTTTTCTAAAATTTCTTGTATAAAATTAAAAAATAAATATGATGACATTATTTTTTCGAACCAAAAACAAATATTTCCCTCAATATCTTGTTTTGTTGTCGCTGTGATTTACATACCGCTACACGGACTTGTGTGATTTTGATATCATTTGATTCATCATGGTGTTTAGATTATGTAGATATTTTTAAATTCATTTTTAGGTGTGTGTATGTCATTAATATAATGAACATATTGATGTAATCTGCTATATTATTTTTATTTGTCTCATATTTCGCGAAGATGTGCAACTTTATCGCGATTATTATAACATATTCATAATCTTATTTTACGGAGGAAGATCTATATCAATGTTTATGGTCAATATAATAAACCGCGTAATTTTAAGATTTTTTTCTTATACCCAAAATTAAAACCTCTTTAACTTTTGCGCGCATCAACCAAAAATTTGATTGCGAACGGTTTCGGAGTCAGAACATTTTTCTCTATGTGTGTACCAAAAATCATTGATGTGCCACAAAAACAAAAAAGCTGAATTTTTGAAAATGGAATATTAAAAAATTGGCAATATTGCCCATATATACGAAGATTAAAAAAAGAAGAAAAATAATTTACAAAAAAATTTTTGTTGTTTTTTGTAATTAAAGAAAGTCCTTATTTTTGATGGCGGGCATGAAACTCCTCACTGGACCATCGGAATTCGAAAATTCCAACAGTGTTAGAAAGAGTACATGACTGGCTCTCGTATGAACTAGGATTATTGACTTCGCTCTAAAATTAACAAAATGGCGGACCTTAGAAAAAATATTTTTGGAAAATCGCCGATTTTTGACCACAAACTAAGGAAGATCTTCACCGATTGGCTTTATCCTAGTTCATACGATAGCTATAAACTCACAGAGAAACGTGTAAACATTTGGAATCGATTGGGTTATTAGTTTTTGAGTTATCGTGCCCGCCATTCGCAAAAGAGAAAAACGCGTTTAATGTTTGAGAAGCCCTTTAGCCGTCACTTGATGATGACACAATATATCTGCTATATCTTCAAGAGTTCTTGAGATTTTCACTTGAAATCTTGTAGGGACATTCTTGAATTAGTGTAGATTCGAATTAAATCAAAAAAAATTTTACCCCGAGAATGGGCGCAACGAGTTTCGCTTATCCAAGGTCCCTTTAATTGAAAATTTAGCAGAAGAGAAAAATACACTGAAATTACGCGTTTTCATTTAAACGGATTCGACTGTACATTAAACAATTTTTTCCGAGCCCATTCCTTTTTTTGGTACATAGGTTAAAATAAATAATTCTTCAAGAGTTCTTGAGATTTTCACTTGAAATCTTGTAGGGACATTCTTGAATTAGTGTAGATTCGAATTAAATCAAAAAAAAAATTACCCCGAGAATGGGCCCAACGAGTTTCGCTTATCCAAGGTCCCTTTAATTGAAAATTTAGCAGAAGAGAAAAATACACTGAAATTACGCGTTTTCATTTAAACGGATTCGACTGTACATT